GAGCTCTCCATCATCCCTCCCTGTTCTGCTTTTCTCCATCTGTGTTAGTTTCCTAGGGCTGCTGTAACAAAGTACAACAAACTGAGTGGCTTAAAACAACAGCAGATATGTAGTCTCTCTCAGTTCTGGAAGCTAGAAGTCTGAAATCAAGGTGTCGCCAGGGCCTGCCTCTCTCTCTCTCTCTCTCTCTCTCTCTCTCTCTCTCTCTCTCTCTCAAGACTCTAGGGAATAATCCGTCATTGCCTCTTCCAGCTTCAGGTGGTTGCTGGCAATCCTTGGTGTTCCTTTCCTTGGCTTATAGACTCCAATCTCTGCTTCCATCTTCACATGGTGTTCTGTTTGTGTGTGTGTGTGTGTGTGTGTGTGTGTGTGTGTGTGTGTGTGTCCAAATTTCCCTTTTCTTACAAGGATACCAGTCATTGAATCAGGACCCACGCCAATAGAATATGACCTCACCTTAACTTGATTACATCTGCAAAGACCTTTATTTCCAAATAAGATTACATTTACAGGTGGACATCAAGTTTTGGGGGATATTGCTCAACCCAGCACAACATCCAACATGCTCTCTATAGTCTGTTTATTGTTTCTCTCCCCCTGTGAACTCTATGAGGTTAGGGATTGTTGTCTATTTTATTCATTGCTATATCTTAGAGTCTAGAACGGTGCTTGACACATAGTAGATACTCAGTAAATATTTTGTGAATGAATCTTTGTACCCATCTGCCCTCTACCCCACAGCGAATCTGAATGAGAGAAGCAGGGATAAGGTACAATACAAGTATTGCCTAGAACATAATAAATGCTTAGTAAATGTTCACTGGATGAATAGAATTTTGATGGATATAGTAATTCGACACTTATGGAGCACCAATTTTATACAAAGTATGAGGAAAGGTATAAAGAAGTGATAAGGAAACATCTGAGCATCCTGGCTATGCCTCTGTGTGACCTTGGGCAAGTAATTCAACCTCTGGGTTTACTTTCTCATCTGTAAGATGGAGGTAATAACAGTAGCTATCTCATTGGTTTGTCCTGAGGATTTTGTGGGTTTGAACATGTAAAGACTTAGGCTGTCACATGATAAGCACTATAGATGTGTTAGTTGTTATTATTGTGGTTGCTGGTATGTGCTAGACTCTGTCTGTGCAAGACTTTTGAAAAAGCCAGCTTTATCAAGATATAATTCACATACCATAAAATCCTCCCTTTAAAAATATACAACACAGTGGTTTTTAAATTGTTGACAGTATTACAGATGTCCCCCATTTTCTCCCCTCTACCCCCCTCCACCCAGCTCCTGCCCCACCCCAAGCCTTCCCCACACTCTTGTGTCTATGGGCTATGCATAGATGCATGTAAGTTCTTTGGTTAATCTCTTCCCGTCCCCACCCCCCCTCCTCCCCTCTGAGATCTGTCAGTCTGTTCCATGTATCCGTGGCTCTGGAACTATTTTGTTCATCAGTTTATTTTGTTCATTAGATTCTCCATATAAATGAGATCATGTGATATTCCAACTCAGTGGTTTTTAATTAACGGGGCTGTACAATCATCACCACAATCTAATTTTAGAATATTTTCATTCTCCTTCCAAAAAACACACACACCATACCCATTAGCAGTCAGTCCTCTTTCCCCAACCCATGCCCCAGCCCCTGGAAATCACTACTCTACTTTTTGTCTCTATAGATTTACCTATTCTAGAATTTTATATAAAGAGAATCATATAATCTGTGTCCTTTTGGGTCTCTTATAGCAATATGTTTTCAAAGTTCATCCATGTTTTAGCATGCATCAGTACCTCATTCCTTTTTATGGCTGAATAATATTCCACTGTGTGGATATGCCGCCCTTTATCTACCCATTCATCAATACATGAACATTTGATTGTTTTCACATTTTGACTCTTACGAATAATGCTGCTATGATCATTCATATACAAGTTTTTGTGTGGACATGTTTTAATTTCTCTTGGGCATATGCCTAGGAGTGGAATTCCTTGATCATATGGTAACTCTGTGGTTAACATTTTGAGACACTTACACATTGTTTTCCAAGTTGACCACACCATTTTACATTCCCACCAGCAAAGAATGAGGGTTCCAGTTCTTCACATGCTCACCAATATGTCTCCTGGTGTGTCCTTTTTACTTTAGTTCTCATAGTGGGTGTGAAGTGGTGTCTCACCGTGTGTATATGTATGTGTGTGTTTTAAGAGACTGATGTTTATTTTTCAACAACCTTATTTCCAGTTTCCACTTAAGAGCCTGTGGAAGAACAGCTTAAGACCACCCAGTGGTTGTTCCTACCCATTCAGTAACCTCAGGCTGAGCAGCAGAGAACGCGGGAGCTGAGCAGTCCATTCACCCTGAAAATGCCTCCTTGGTCACAGCCTTTTCAGCAGCCGCCTGCTCTTCTTTTCCAGTCTCTTCAGGGTCTCCAATTGCAGTAGGAGAGCAGGCATGACCTCCCACAGATGCTCATGGTAGATGGTCCCGCACATGCATAGAACTTCCTGTACCAGCATCTGTGATATCAAACCCACTGAGCCAGCCCCCTTGTTGGATGGGATGGCAACGTCCACATGGCACAGAGGGGCATCTGTGTTACACAGAGGGATGGTGGGCAGGTTAACATAAGACGCCCCTGTGACAGGCTGGTGGTCAGCCCTGGGATCAGTAACCACCGGAAGTCTCAACTCCCAGAAGGGTGCCTGGATCTGGTTGGTGAAGGTCCCAGGGATGAGGCAGCCAGCAAATAGGAGTGTCCCTGGTGGCAGGAGCAAAGTTCAGCACAGTTTACTGGCCAATATTCCTGGACAATGTGATACTGACAGCAGGGTTTTCAGGGGCAACAAGGGCACGCACAAGCCACCAGCAGAAGATCCCCACATGTTCATTTCAGAATTCTGATGCAGACGCCATCACTTTTCACTTTGGAGATGAGCTCTTCTACTTGGAAACCAACATTGGGGCCACCTAAGTGGGTTCCTGCTGCAAGGAATTTAAGGACAACCTCCTCCTTCATCTGCAGAACAGCAAGGGCTCCGGACATTGTGAAAGTTTCCCTTTCAGTGACAACAGGCACCCAGAAAAAACACCTTGTGGGTAGCAGGGAAAGCTCACTGCGATTTGGATCTGCATTTCCCCGATGGCTAATGGTGAGAAGCATCTTTTCATCTGCTTACTGGTCATGTGTACCTCTTTTGTGGAGAAATGTGTATTCAAGTCCTTTGTCCACTTAAAGAAAATGGCTTGTTTTTGTTGTTGACATGTAAGCGTTCTTTACATAATCTGGACACAAAGCCCTTATCAGATATATCACTTACACAGATTTTTCTCCCATTCTGTGGGTTGTCTTTTCTGTGCCAAATGTTTTTGGCTGCCTTCTTCCAAGACCACCCCCGTGAGGTAGGTGTTCTTGATAGGGAAATGAAAGTTCAGAGAGGAGAAGATGGAATTTAAATCCAGTTTTTGTCAGACTGTAAAACTCATGCTTTCTCCTCTCCCCCAACCTGCTCACCAAGATGAATGAAGACATGTTTCTGGCTTTGAGGAGTTCAGGCTGGCAGAGGTCTTCAAACAAGAACACAAATGAATGCACTATAAAGCAGAGTTCCACTTGGCCCACAAATGCCACGAGGGAAGTGTAGACAAAGTGCAGTGGGAGGTCAAGAGGAGAGGGAAAAGTGAGCACCCTGGCTTGGGAAAGCATTCAGTAAGGTGGCATTTAAATCTTGAAAGATGGGTACAGTTTCCCTGCATAGAGATGATGGGCTGAATAGAAGAGAGCATTTCCAAAGAAGAGCAGGAAATGAGGGTTGAAGGAATGCATACACGGAGCTTTGATCCTAACTCTGCGATGGCTTGTTAAGATGGAGATCCTGGGACTTTCTTCGTTGGCTTGGAGGACCCAGGCACTAGCTAAGCTGGAGGGTTTCTGACACTTGGGATTGGAAGATCCAAAGGGGATGGGGAGTCCGCGGGCTGCCTGGAGCTGGCGGCCGCCGGGGATGGGGCTTCTTGGGATGTCTTAGATGAGGATCTGGGGCCTGGCGGACGGGAATGCATCGGGAAGGGACTGGGATGGAGGGCTTCATTAGACTGCTTTAGGTGAGGACACCGGACCGTGGGACGGGGGGAAGGGAGCGATTTCCGGCAGCCCGCGATGGGGCTGGCCCGGGCGCCTGGGGGGGGTCTCGCTTCGGACCGGGGGGGTTGTAGCAGGGGGGGGCGGGCGGGGGGCGGGGCCGGGCGG